TGAAATTTTAAATCTCACCCCCCAGTCGCGCATACAACGGTCAAAGATATCACATATAAATTTTAGTCCCGATTGGAGACGGTTAAGGCGTGTCGCACAGGGGTCAAAGCTCAGATTCCTCTATGTAGACTCAACAAATTTAAATACATTTTTTTTCATCTAATACCCAAAATCGATACTACTGTAGGCGCAGATATCACGTATAAATTTTGATCCCGACAGGGGGCAAAGTTCAGACTCCCCTATTTTGAGTCTCCATAGAGGAATCTGAACTTTGACCCCTGTGCGATACGCCTTACCCTACTCAAATCGGGACCAAAATTTATATGTATCGATTTTGGGTATTAGTTGCAAAAAATATTAGTTTGAATTTTTTGAGTCTCCATAGAGGAATCTGAACTTTGACCTCTGTGCGACACGCCTTAACCGTCTCCGATCGGGACCAACATTTTTGTGTGATATCTTTGACTATATTAGCATCGATGTGGGGGTTGACGTAGCTATATACATAATTAGATACCATTCGGAAATAAATTTCGATTACGGTAATTTCTACGTGGTATGTGCCACCCCTCGGCAGGCAATGGCAAACCTCCGAGTGTATTTCTGCCATGAAAAACAGCTTCTCATAAAAATGCAATCGCCGTTCGGAGTCGGCGTAAAACTGTAGGTCCCTCCACTTTGTGTGACAAAATCAAGGCGCACGCCACAAATCGGAGGAGAAGCTCGGCCAAACACTAACATATGTGTAAGCGCCAATCTATATATAAGTGCTACTCCACTATTTGGTTTCATAGGGATTCGGATACCTTCCTCATTGAAGTAGTAAGAAAATTCGCTTAAGTGCTTTTTCGGCTAAGTGCACAAGTTTTTCGTGCAAAGAAGGATGGACAGCTAAGTAAAATATACTGTATTCACCAAAACAAAAGACGAGATAAACCAACAACAACAGCATAATGTGGTCTATCAAATCCAATGCAAAGGTAAAGTCAACGAAAACTGCAACTAAGTATATATAGGCACGACTAATCGAGCCCTTGGAGTCAGAATTAGTGAACACCAAGCAGACGAGAAAAATAAGAAGACAACAAAAGCACTTGCATAGCACTTGACGAATAGCGAACATACAGCAGATTTTGAGAACACCATATTTTTGGACGTAGAAAAACGAGAAAAAACCAGATTAACTTTGGAGAGTCTGCGAATACAGGAGAGGATAAGGGACGCGATGAACTTTAAAGAGGACGTTGCCAATGTAAATTGTGCGTACCGGACGGCAATACAAAATAATAAATCAGATGGGCGAAGACAGTGACGTCAAATAAAAGTGTGCGGTGCAATGTTTTGCGTTTATTGTTATGTAAATCGTTATACTAATATAATACGTAAGTGCTATTGTGATAAAAAAGATGTGTATATGTATATGTATATACATATATTTTTCAGTCATATGTAACTTTGTCTAATTGTTGTGTGTATTATGTTTTGTTTTTTACAATAAATCAGACTCCCTGATGAAGGCGTGAAGTACGCCGAAACGCGTAGGAGGAAGAGGAAACGCAGTTTGTCTTTTAATGTACCGGCCGGAAAGCTGTACCAATGACCCAAAAAAAATTTGCCTTATTTCACATTGCTTATTTATACTATTTGTAACAAAACCAGTTTACGGACAGAAGGGAAAAGAACTTTGTTTATTCCGAAAATACAATTAAACAAAAAATGGGATAGAATTCATATGAAGAAAGTAATATTCACAAAATATTTGTGCTTATGAAAATTCTAACAAAATATAGGAAAAGAGTCGTCTTTAATAACTGCTCAACAAACTGGACATAGCGCTTTTGTATGAAATTTTGTCTGCATGTTTTTGAATATGTTGAAAAACTTAAAATGTTTGCATGGAAGCATGGCCTAATAAACAGGTGAAGTAATAAAACAGCTTTCTCGCTTTATTTTCTGGCATTCGGCTGCCTTATAGGCAAATTTTAAAAGCAATTTTTCAAAATTTGTTCCCGCTCTAATTACTTCACCTGGTATAATTCCGCCATGGCATGGAGCAAACAAAAGTTGCCGTTCCTGTTCGCAGCATATAACACAGAGAATATTGTTTTGAGTTTTATCTTCATTTAAAATTTCTGCATTATCATCACTGGTTTCACCATATCCCAAATGTGGATTTCGTTTACGAAGACGAAGTAAAATATGTAAAATGTAAAATTTTACCTACTCTCTGACTTCTAAATTTGAACGTTTACTCGGTACAAGCAGGTGCGATGAATGGCGCAATAAACAGATGAAGTAATAAAACAGATTTCTCGCTTTATTTTCTGACATTCGGCTGTCTTATAGTCACATTTATAGGCATGTTTTCAAATAACACAGTGTCAAAATATTTCTTCTCACTCTAATATTACTTCACCTGGTACATATAATTCCACCATGGGTGGGGTGCATTCGATAACACCATACGCAATAATTCCCATTACTTGGACATTAAAAAGCAGTTTCAGAAGTAAACTAGTGTCATTTTATTATTATTCTTTCTAAAAAGTTAAAATGACAGCAGTGCTTAATTGCAAAAAGGGGAGGGGGCGCGGACCGCCGCGACGCTGGGCACGTTCAAAATTGTATATTTACAAATCCGTCCCTTTAACTTGTTCAGGTACTACTTTTTGTCAAATGTAACTGGGCGACTACCTACATATGTGCACTATTTTGCTTTATTACTCAATTGTTAAGTTTAAAAGTTGGTCTTATTGCTCCACGAGAAATGAAATAAAACAAATTTGTGTTATTTCACATTCAATTGGTTATAGCTTATAGATGACTTAAGTTGGTTATACCTTGTTTAATGTTATTGCTAACATTCGCATTCACATTCGCATTACGAAAATTCGCATTCGACATTCGAAACATCCCTAATATGTACATTAGAGTGGTCCAAAAAAAATAAAGTCGGAGTTTTATTGCCGGCACACCCTAGGATTGATCTATATCGAAAAAATATACCCCTATTTTTTATGTCGAAATCAAAAAATATTTAGGGAGTGCTCAAGCGCTCAAAGTTTTCCATGCATTTTTTAGAAAAAACCATTTTTCGTAGAAAAGGTATAAAACTCTTGAAAATCAATATTTTTCGACCGGAAAACTGTGGTTCTCTTCAGGAGACTTCCAGTATTAATGTCCAGTTGCTTATTTAACCATTTTTTAAGATTAAAGATTTTTTATTGGTCCCCCCATTGCATTTTCTAAGGGTTTTGGAGAACCTATAGTTACCATGAAAAAACTGTTGAAGAAACAATTGAGTATTATTACTGAGAATCTCCTGAAGATAAGTAAAGTTTTCCGATCGAAAAACATTGATTTTCAAGAAGACTACACTATTTCTACAAAAAGTTGTTTTTTCTCCATATAAAATACATGGAAAACTTTGAGCGCTTTGAGCACTACCTACTATTATTTTTTATAAAAAAAGGGTAATATTTTTTTTGGTATATAACAATCTTAGGGGGTGGCGGCATTAAAAATCCGACTTTATTTTTTTACATACATTTTTGGACCAGTTTAACGTACATATGTGTGTTACCTGCATTATGACAGAGATTCTAATTCATGTTAATATTTTAGAGTAATAAACGAACTAAGCTTGTGCTGGAGGTATTTTGATAAATTGGTAGCGGGCTCAGTGAAATTTTATTTAACTTACCTTACAATATTTGTGAAAAGTGAAATAGAAATATATGTATGTGATTGAATTTTTACTTTATATTTGTTTTGTAAACCACCTCTCTGAATCAATATGTTAATAATAAAAGACAGTAATCTTTTTCGTTAGTTCAACTTTTTGAATGAGCCCACAGGTTGAATAAAAATTAGAAAAATCGGTTAAAACATCGATGTTTTCATTCGAAGCATCGAACTACCATCTATGCAATTTTTCGAAACATCGATTCTTCAAATATCGATGTTTTCACCGTAATTTACATCCCTAATTCAAATTGGAGATATGAACGATGGGGTGCATATAATGGCTAAGAAGCTATTTTTTGCCACCAGTGTACAAAAGGTTTATCAATTTAAAAATTTATGAACACGTCAATTTATAAAGCTTTATAAACCTACTTTATTTTTTATGAATAAGGCCATTCGTATCTTGTGCTATGAAAATAAGTAAATTCTACATAGTTGGTATTTTGTATAATCCAAAATATTTAAGCAGACAGCCCTTGTACTATAAATACCTAATTGCCTTCGTACTTATTATTTCGTAAGCACAATTATGTCCATCACTGCTAAAAAGTTACGTTCCTCTAAAAGAAACACGTTTAATTTTTTCTGGCCGTCTAATCTCTTACATATGTATATGTATATGTATTAGGAATGTATTAGTGATCCCGGGACCCCGGTCTTTTATTAAGTCCCAAGAAGCCCGGGATTTTCGGGATTTGTAAATTGCACTAATGGCAATAATAGAAACTTCATTTTCTTGACCAGTATTGGCTATATTTCTTTCTTTTATTTAATAATCAATATTTTTCATAAATGTCTAGCTCATTATACACATAACACCGTGCGATAGTAAATTTTACACACAAACATCAATATAGTATTCGCGATACCATGGGCCAAATAAACTAAAATTGCTTTTTTAGTTTTTTACTCTGACGTCAGTAACCTAAAACTGATTTAAAAAATTCAGTGACATGTGCTTAGAGAAGTAGTAGTATTATCAAATTAAAGAGGAAATTCTGCAGAATTTAATCAGATTAAATTTTTTGGTATATAAGGACTAGTAAGTATTGAAAATGTTTTTTAAAATTTTATCATTGAAATTTCGCAATATTTGCTTTTGAAAAAATAATATATTAAGGGCATATATAAAGTCGATGATATCCTTCATTTGGTACCCATATTTTTATTCTCCATATTTTCTCCCGGGATGGTAAAAAGCGGAAAAATTAACATCCCTAATATATATGTATTTTGGTTTATTCGCGCAGTACCTGTGTGTTAGAACGTGACACGATGTCATTACATCCTACATTTGTGGAATACATAGAAGGCGCTATTCAATATCTATTAGCTGAAACTGATAAGGACAATACCAGTATTCGGGAAGTTAAAGCACATTTTTGTAATTTCATTCGCAAAATGATAAAGAATTTCTCGCGTAAGTTACTCTATTGGAAACAATTTCATGCTTTATATTCACCAATTTGTATTTTTTGTGTAATCCATTTTAGTAGAGTCATGTGGCACACTTCTAACACGCGAGCTTAAGCGGAGTCTTTTCAATTTATTTGCAACATGGTGTGGATCTTTTTCAAAACCGCTGGGCTTCACTTCACAGATTGGTCAATCACAAGATGAAGAGAAATTGCAGTTTAGTGCTTTACAGGTAATTTTTAATGAAAGTATTTAAATATAAGATGCTATAATAACTATACGACACCCATCATTCCCACGACAGCCGGTTCTACCTAACGTAATGACTCTGGTTTTACTCTATCAACGGCTGCTGTTTCGCGGTCTAACCGTTTTTTGTGTGCTAGAATTCCGCAACCGCGGAGCTTCCGCATTAATTTTAATATTCGCATTCGCTTTCGCATTCGCAAGCTTTTGAGAGTGCGAATGTAGGGCAAGTGCACTTATAAAACGTATATCTGGCAAACAAAATCACAAATTGTAGCCAATCTATATATATATAAAAATGAAATGTTTTCCGTATGACGAGGATGCCTGACCAAACGGCTGAACCGATTTCAATTCTGTAAAAAGCACTTTTTTGGACCTTCTGTGTGGAAGGTTTTTCGATTTAACAAAAATTGAAACTTTTTGTTGTTGTTGCTGAAAAATTAAGAATGCTGAGACGCCACGATTTCACAATTTTATAGTTTTCCGTATATTGAATGTCACTAAACTACTAACGGCTGGACCGATTTCGTTCATATTTGGAACATATTTCAGCACCTTAAAGGGAAATATTTCGACTAAAAATTTAATCGCTAGGTGGCGCTGGTGTCGGGATATTTATAAAAATTGCATTTACTTGCTGCTTAAAACTATAAGTCACATGAACTTGAAATTTGGTATGCAGTCATATACTATATGTTAGGTGCTTACAGTAGAGTATATATCAAATAAAATACCTCTTTGAGGTAAAATTTTCGAGTGACGAAAGCTGAGCTAGAAACACAAAATTTATGATATCAATTAAGTGACGAAAATTATACGCATTTTTTAACTGCCTTTCAAGCGTACGGAAAATCTTTTTTATTCATACAAATCGTTGCAAAAGTTCTGTTTTGTTTTAATTGTGTTTCTAGCAGTAAACGGAAATTCGCAACGTTTCGAATAAATAAAAAAAGATTTTCCGTACGTTTCAAAGGCAGTTAAAAAATGCGTATAATTTTCGTCACGAAATTGATATCATAAATTTTGTGTTTCTAGCTCAGCTTTCGTCACTCGAAAATTTTACCTCAAAGAGGTATTTTATTTGATATCAATTATTTTGGGGTAGCAAATTTAAAATCGACGAAAATACAAACAATCAACTAAATGTTTTATTTTTCTCCATTGAGACTGTAAAAAGTACTATTTTGGCACTTCTGTGTGGAAGGTTTTTCGATTTAAAAAATTTTGAAACTTTTTTGCTGTTGCCGAAAAATGAAGAATGCTGAGACGTCACGATTTCACAATTTTATAGAGTTTTCTGTACATTAAATGTCACTAAACTACTAAACGGCTAGCCCGATTTGGTTTATATTTGCAACATGTGTCAGCACTTAGAAAATAAATGTTCTGACAAAAAATGCACTCGCTGGGTGGCGCTATCGTCGGAATATTCCTAAAAATTGCATTTTCTTGCCATTCTGGTTCATATTTAGAATATTAGCCAATTGAACAGAAATATTTGCGCTTAAAACTTACGCGACAGGTTTTCGCTATGGCCGAGATATGCCCATAAATTATTTTACGCTAAGAGAATGATAGATATCTACTATATATTCGCATTCGCATTCGCAACCGCGGAGCTTCCGCATTAATTTTAACATTCGCATTGGCTTTCGCCTTCGCAAAAATCAATGCGGATCTTTGGCGAATGGGAATATTGAAGGGACCGAAAATTATAATTATTTTTTACGAGTTAAACTTGGCCAAATATTTGTTATTCCGAAATAGAAGTCTTTTCCGGATAATAAACAAACCGCTTATCCAAATTAAACAAGTTTGGTATCCAATGAAAGAGTACTTAAATAGCTTTAAAGCTGAAATGTCTAAAAGAGGAAAGCCACACATTGAAAAATATTTCAATAAAAATGTTAATTACCATAGAACACACATTGGGTCAGGTAAGTATTTACATGGATTTCTTTAGCATTAAGTTATAAAAAAATAAAAATAGAGGTCGTAACCTTCATTCGTTATTTCTGTTTAAAAGCTATTTCAGTCCCCTTTCATATGATACCAAATTTGTTTAATTTGGATAAGCTATTTCTTTATTATCCGGATAGGACGTTTATTTCGGAATAAAAAAATATTAGACCAAATTTAACTCGGTAAAAAATAACTGTTATTTTCGGTCCCTGGAATATTGTGCAAGTGCATAGACGTATATCTAACCAGTCACAGAAGAAAGCATTAAAAATGAGTTACAAAAACTAAAATCGAAAAACGGTGATGACGTGACAAATTCCGAAACAATCAAAAGAATGAGAATGAAGAATTCTTTCGAAAAAAACGGTGTTTAAACAACGATTGTGCCATGATGCTACATTGTGAAGATGAAAGTCAGGAGGATACATCCAACATTTGCAGCCCCGATGAAATTCTCAAAAAGTAATTATTGCACCGCAATAAAAATAAATAAATATAACTGAAAGTCCTCTCAACTGGTGCATTGTCAATCGAAAAGAATTTACAATTTTGCCAAGTTTCCAGTTTTTCAAGTTTTTCGCAGCGAGCGAGTAATTATTTAGTGGCGCAGGTTTGATTTACGACCCTTCAAAAAGTTTTTATTAAGTACAATGTTCCAATTTTTAAATTCAAGTACTAAAAAAACATTCAGTCTTATTATGAGTTTAATTTTCCCCGAACCGGTTCACTCTTCACTTTTGGTTTTCATGTACATATTTCCTATGGGCGGAATACAAATTTTCGGGTGAATTTTTTTTTCGGGCAAAACCCTTATTTACCTAAATCACCTAAATTATTTCTTAAAAATACAGTACATCTGCATTCGCATCCGCATCCGCGGGTGTTAGCTATTAAACAACCGCATCCGCATTCGCATCCGCGGATGTCTAAAATTCCACATTCGCATCATCCCTAGTATGTATGTATGTATGTGCCAGGTTGCAGCCTAAACGGACGGACAGAATCGAACGAAATTTTGACAGAGTATTGCCATGACACCTGGGCCTATAATAGGGAGAAAAAAATTGGGATTCGACAAGGGGGCGCGGCACCTCCCATAGGCGTGATATTTTTTATCAGCTGTAACTTCAGAACCATAAGTCACATGAAATTGAAAGTTGGTATGCAGGCATACCCTGGACGGAAAATACGAACTAGTGAACCAAATTTCTAGTTCAGTACTAGTTCTTTTTCGCCAAAAACGAACCAGTCCGATAGTAACTAGTACCGCACCAGTCCAAAAGCAGTGAAATGTGGTACTTTTACTAAACTATTTTATTTCAAATTTTGAAAGCAGGGAAGGTAATCATAATGAGTAAAATAATTTAAATCAGCATTTAATCATTATTTTATGAATTATTATTGAGTTTTGTTTTTTCGCTCAAACGGAAATAATTATTATTTGATTTTTATTTTTGGGATTACAAATAATTATTATTTTATGATTTTTTTTTGCGCAGAGATTATCATTAATTTTGAGTTTTATTTTTCCACTTAAAAATAATGATAATTTATAAACTTGAAACGGCCATACAGACGCATCCTACTGAAATTTAGACCTGAAAAATTTGGGTCTTATTCCTTCTATAAGGGTGCGGCTACCTCTCAAAAGGATACGTCGGTAATCACGCTGGTATAGTTTTTGAGATGCTTAATAATCATTATACTTAGTGGTTCCATAAACAAAGGCCAAGATCCTGAAGGACGATTGATAAAGGCAAAGCAGTTGCTGAAAAAAGGCATCTAAAAAAAAAGTGTCAAAATTATTACCACTTTCTCACTAAATTTATTTAAAAATGCAAGCCACCATAGCTACCTTTTTTTAAGAAAAGACAAATTATTATTTTTTTTATGCAATCCAGCACAGCTACCTTAATACAGTCAGTCAATAAAGTTTAGGTACAACGAACTTTTTACAATACGGGCAACTATTTTTTAAATATTTTAGTTTTCGGTAATTTTTTATAAAAATATGGTCAATTCTACAAAAAAAAATGCCAAAAACCAGAGTTCCAAACCTTGTGCAAAATTTAGGAAAATTCTGCAAAATATCATTAAAATAATTCACTTTCTATTTACGCTCTCTAGAAAAAGTTGAGTTTGCAGTTTTTTAGCCCATTCAATTTTAGTATAATGACAATTTTAGTATAATGACAGCTAGGACTTACCAAACAACAAAAAAAAAATTGCTAAATATCAATGGTAAGTCCTACCCAGGGTACGAAAATAAACTGTACAAAACAATTCCCATTTGCTCATCCATCATCATATCATTTGTGGTTTTGTACAGTTTTGTACATAGTCAGAAACAAATTGTAAGATTCACTGTCATTTTCCCCAACGAGAAACGTTTGCTTTTCGTTTGTGACAATTGTACCATAGCGTACGTTTTATATGTATGCAAACGTTTCAGTTACGTGAAAAATATTTTTTTCTTTCAATTTTCATATCCAATTCAATTAAAAAACATGTACTACATACATACATATATTTTTCTCTGCATGATTCATTTCGTTTGTTGTTTCGTCTCTAACTACTAAACTACTGTAGTGTACTATCGCAAAGTGAACTCAGCCGTTTTGTTTTCGTATTGTACCGAACTGTTGAAGTAATCGAAACGAAATAGCACTGTACAATATAGTTTATTTTCGTACACTGGTCCTAGCTACCCCAAACTTGCACTTTGTTATACTAAAATTGAATGGGCTAAAAAACTGCGTACTTAACTTTTTTCTAAAGATTGTAAATTGCAATATTTGGATGGAAATTTGGGGAATTTTCTTTAATTTTGCATAAGGTTTGGAACTCTGATTTTTGGGGTTTTTGGTGTAGAACTAACCATATTTTTATAAAAAATTAGGGGAAAATAAAATATTTAAAAAATAGTTGCCGGTATTGTAAAAACTTCGCTGTACCTAAACTTTATTGACTGACTCTATATGTTATTTAAGTACGACACAAACTTTCGAAGTTCTTCATATA